CAAGATTTTACGCTAATTCTCATTAATGAGATCGTGAAACTACTTCCGCAAACCGGCTAGAGCCTGCTTATATGACCAAGGCATCCAGATCTAATCGGATCGTACTTTTTTGGCTCTTTAGTGTCTAAAAACAGGACTTGCTTTGCTTTAGTTGCTCGGGATGGTATACCAGTTTTCAGCAGCTAACAAGCTCTTTCCATGGAGTTTAAGCACACTCTACTCACTTACCACCAAAACAGAAGTCTGATCTGTATTGAGAATGAGTTCATAGGTTATGTTTTATTTCCTAAAAGGCAGGAATTTGGTTTAGCAAAAGCAAAATAGTTGCGGTAGAGTTGTCACCACTCGCACCATTATGCTCCAGAATTCATAATATCCCCAGTTATTAAATAAAACAAATTATAAGTTGGAAGAAAATTTCCTGCTTTGTAACTGTCCTTCAAGAGCTGTGCTGCTGTAACGCTTCGAGCTGGCTGATTGATTATACAGTGTTTATGACGTAACATGAATTTGGCGCTGCAATTCTTCCTAATTTTTTTAGAAATCAAACGTAGACATATGTTTGCGCGGTTCCTAAAAAGGATAATCATAAATATTCTACTTAGGCACAGGGAAATTTTCATTTTTGCTTACGTTTTTTCTGCCAAAATATTGCGATTTCAGTACATACTGCTCATAATTTAAACTTTAGTAATCCGAATATCTGCGTTTTTTTCTGCGCACAGTTTGCTGATCCGTTCATCATTCTATCACATCAGCGACAGATGTCTATTTTATTGCGGGGACATGAGTCATTTTTGCTCGAACTATGATCAAATTCCAAAAAAAAACATGGTCCCATTTTTAGGAATTTCTATTACGTGTTTTCCTGTCCGCACTTGATAAATTTCAAACTAATAAAAATCTTTCCCACATTGACTATCCTATCATGAGTTCTCTGCGCTGTTTGTTTATTCGACGATTCGTTGTCCTACCCTTCTCTTTGCTCACTCGGTCATTTGCTGCATTGACTAAAATTGGTTCTCACTTTTCCCATACACTGATTCTTCCCTAATGCTACTTCTTTGTTCTTTGCGATCACTGCTTTGAAGATCCTGTATTTGACGTCTCATCTCAGCCAGGTGTTCTGATGTCTGTGGTTGTGTCGTAACTGTTTACTAACTAATAAAGTAGCTAGTAAAGTAGTTTCACTAACTTTATTCTTTTAACTGTTTACTGATTCAACGTATGGTTTTGATTTGATTGATGTCAGTCATGTTCTTTTTTTTCTTCAAAGCAATCGTTCATACGGCTAATAAGAATGAGTTCAAAGCTTTTTGCAGCTATGAGCAGCAATTTTTTTGTATAAAAGATACTCACTAGAAACCAGAAAAACTGTAGATGCTTAAAAAATTTCCTCTTCATATAAACAACCCGAACTACAATACAATAATTGTACCAATTTTTGTTGTCTCATACTAATCTGCGTCGGTCACTGATCGCATTTTTTCCCATCTTTTCACTATCAACTGTTGCTTGTTCATTTGACTGCCTTACTTGGGAAGGATACTTGGTGACCGTGGCTTTCAAAATGAAGCGTATGTCATTAGACGCATTCTAAAGCGCTAATTCTAAATCTTCTTTCGGTATCTGCTGTGCTCTCTTCCAAAAGAAGTTATGAACATTTCTTGCCACAAAAACTTGCACTGTTTTTGACGCAGGATTCAATATCGTTAAAATGTTTGCTTAACTGTCTCCGATATATGGGAGTCTAAAAAGCCCGGATACTGACGATTCTGACTGCTTAAATCTCGTAAAATCATTGTGGAAAAAAGTCCATAATTTCGTTCAGAAAGTTGCATACCAGATAATGAACATAGATTTGGAATCAGCGTTTCAAGGGCGCTTCTACTGGTATACATCACATTGTAAAAGGCCACGGTCACCAACTATCCTTCCCTTATTAGACGAGACCACATACAATTTAGATTACAGTAATAAATCAATGAATAATGACTGTTTGTACCGAGAGATTCGCTTTCACTATGCACCGTCAACTTTGTATATTCAAATGGGCGTATAATTTTCATCCATTCGAGAATGGCTTCAAACGCTAAGCTCGCTCAGCCATAAGAAGAATTACGAAAAAGCTTTATTTTTTGATAATGGTATTTATTCAATTCACCAAGTGCTCTGCACTTACTGCAATACACCAAAAAATGATTCTTTACTTTGAAAAATTCTGTATCTGTGCAGCGGTAGCTTAAGCATCAGCACAAAACTGCCAAACAATACACAGCAAATAATTTAGAACATTTGCTTACCTTCCCTTTTCAGTAAATCAAAAAATGCAATTTGAATATGTCTTGAACACTACGTAAGGTTTCCCATTTATACAGTTTTGTACATAGATAAATCATATTATAGCTACTGTTCATTATAAACGCATGCTGATCCGCTCAGTGTTCTATCTTTGGTCATATGTGCTTGACCTAAATCAAAAAGAGAAAGTTCAATTTCAGAGAATGTTAGGAGTTTCTATTACAACTTCTCAAACTCTACTAGAGTAGTCGTTTATGAAGTGATTCATTCATTGAGTTTTCAACTGTTGGCACTCTAGGCCCAGTCAGCTATTTGTTTGCTTAACAATTGTTGTCCGTCCCATATCTTTGCTCACCCGGCCATTTGCTAGCCTCCATTCGTCAAAATTATCTCTTTCCTGATCGAGACCTATGCTCAATGCTCTTTCTTTAATCATCGAAACCATCACCCTCAAATTTTCAAACGTCTTTCGTCTGTTAGGTCTATGTTGTCTTCATGGCTGTGTTAATACTGTTTACTGGCTCAGTATATGTTTTTGCCTTTTCAGATAATCACCGAGGATAGGGGCACCGGGAAAGAGTTGCTGACTGTTGCGGCTCGGTGGGCTCTGCGCCCCCTCACCTAGTGCTCGACTGCCATACGCCTCAGCTCCTGTCCCCGAAGGACTCCCGCCGCTGCGGGTGCGCGCTAACACGCAGTGGCGCGTCACGCCTACACTAGACACGAAACGAGAAAAATATAGAAATTTACTAAACAAATATACATGAAAATACACAACACGAATAAAAGTAAACATACTCACCACGGGGAGAGTTAAGCTCTACCCCGGGCTACCGATGAGGACTCTTGCTTACTCACACTCGCACGCTAGCACACTCACACACTCTCCCAGAATCCAAGGGAGCTACCCACAGGCCGGCCGCGCGCCGCCAAGGCAGCAGCTACGGCACGGCGACACCGACCCCATGATGTAAACCAACAGCATCAAACAAAGCTCCCAACAAATCCTGCGCGATCGAAGCGCTTTGAGATGTTCGTCATCCTGAAATTCCATCCTCGCGCGTACATCCAAACAATACATCAACAATCCATCCTATCGCACGAGGCACAGGGATGTAGACACGACGGCGATATCGTAGAGACCCAACCAATCAATAGTAAAGGCGGCACGACGGTAATAGTAAGATGACAAGACGAGAGAAGAGCCGCACTGGCGCGCGTACGCGCTGTTTATAGCGGTGGCTGGGGGCGTGCCTACATGGTGTGGTCTCGGAGCGAACAAGGTAGCCGCCGTAAAGCGCGGCGACCGTGCTCACGACCGAGACGCGCGGCAACACGGTGCTCCCGGCCACATGCTGTGAGGAGCGGTCGATCGCGAGCCGCGACACTCCCCCCCCCCACAACGAAAGGCATTGGGCGTTGCGAATAGGTGGTTACGTGATAGCACCGTGACCTGGGGCAACTGCCTTAGCCTGAAAAATTGGGGCGATGATAGAAAAAAAGAGAAACATACGGCATCGGTAGCGAGGGAACAGGCAACAACCCGCCCCGTGGTAAAGAACAAAAATAAACACAAAACTACAGGCGCTTTGACGCGCAGGTGACTACTAGAATAAACCAAGGCGCTCAAGGCGCTTACCAAATAAATGTGAGCAATAGTTAAAAATACTTCTATATCTGCTAAACTATGTACATCGTTTCAGGATAGACGCTCCAGCCCATAGCATCACCACCAACCCATCTCACTATCCATCTCGACCAGCGCTGATCTTACTGCGCGTCCATCTCGTACTACGTCCCTCGCCCATCAACATCTAACCACTCTAAATACACTAATACGTTCATCATCGAGGGAGCGTAATGCCCGAAACAAAACTTACCACCTGCGAACCTACATAACGCGCGTCCTGGAACGCACAACCTGAAACAAAGGAAACCTCCACCCTCTCCTAATTTTGATCTAATTTACGATAAAAGGCACAAAATGAAATGATAAATTGAGAGGGTGTTGGCTTCCAGATGAAAAAAGTACTACGTCTTTCCAGAAACATCCCCGAATTCGTGCGTCTAGCACCCGTCCGGACCGAATTGGACGAAGGTCCAGCCTCCCGCCGAGGACAAAATGCCTCAACGAGGGGGTCGACCCCACAACTCAAGGAACCGGAGGTGCAGCACTGTGGGTCTGTTCAAGGAAAGACGGCCCAACCCATAGAGCGGATATTACAGGAGCTTGGTGGACTGCTCGCAATGGCTCTATGGTCGGGATTTAGGCAAATGAGACGGCGCGTCCGGCGACGGCTACAACTTCCTAAAGTAGACTATATCGCTAGGCTGCTCGACCGAGTAGCAATGATATGCAAGTTAGAAAAATTAGCGGAAAATTTAGATGATGTTAACGCGCTCCTACAATAGGAAGTATAACTGGTAGGGAGCCGACAAACTAAGATATTACGCAGGACTTTACACGGCGCGATAGGTATTAACACGCTCCACAAGTGCGCCGCATGGTGTTAGTGCTGGGTTAACTAGCGCGACAGATGTTACACGGAAGTAGGCAAAGTATGAAAATAAATTTTAGAGGCGCGACAGTCACAAAAATGTTAAGGTGTAAAAGAAAATTGACTGACGCGCAGATACAAAACGTTAGTGGATATAGAAATATAAAATGTAAAAAGGAAGATTCAAAACAAAATTTGAGATTAGTGTTGCCTACTGGTACCGTTCGAGTTCACACTATAGCCCGATTGCGCGTCCTCCTGCGCTTCTTGTGGATTCGCCATATGAACTCGTCCACTAATGTCCATCAAATCCTGCCAGAAGTCGTCTTCAGACTCGCGCGTCGAAATTCCTATTCCCGGCTCGCCGTCGGTACCATCGTCCTGAAAATAGATCATCGTCACGAGATATTCTAAGCTAATTAGCGGCGCATTCAAGCTGCGCAATGACTTCCCTCTGGACGTTCCGACGATGAATCCACTGGCATGGGCATGATTAATACTCAGCGCAACAACTAAATGATGTTACGTACTTGACCCACCTACTTAGCGCGTTACGCTAAGTATGTAGACGCGCAAACTGAGTATAACCATATTCAGACGTTGGAATATGAGCCAAGCTGCTGAGGAAGACACTACAGCGAGTGCGGGAGTAGGTGCTACCCGCAGGACCATTCCAACCTTCGTCAAATTCGGGTTGCGCTGCACACCGAGAGTGTCAAATAGGAGATGGAACAATGACACAACAAAACAGTGATGCAGACAAGAAGTAAGTCCGAGTTTAAGCCAATCCAGGTAAAAAAGGGTAAATCCAAGGAGCAACGGCGAAAGCCGCGCGTATACCACAGCCGATGTTACTGGCTACAGGTGCCTGACATAAGCGTCCACAGACAGAGTAGTATGAACGTGTCTACGGATCGCGCGTCAGGTAAGTCTAAATCCAGAAAAGAAGTTGCACTCAAGGGACATGCTTGCCAATATACAGTAGTGCTCGCGGTTATACTAGCTGGCCAGGCAAGTTAAACATAGAGCAAAATAGTAGCAGCTGTGAGTGGACAAGACACACTAACCCTAAGCAAAACAATGGAGCCAAGCTACTACAGGCAAGGGATATCCATGCAGTACAGCTGGCGCGCTAAGCGCGATATCTCGTCGAACGACGATACAACTCAAAGGCACGACGATGCCAACGTAGATAATAAAGGAGTACTTCACTTGCCGATGATGTAATCAGGTAAACTTGGCATGAGGTCAAGGTGCAGATGGAACGCACAACGAAAGCAAGGGCGCGACACTACTACGAGCACTCACGCGCGAGAAGAAGCCTGTAGGTGGAATAGGCAATGAGAAAAAAATCTACACTGCGCCAACAGAGGATGACATACTACGAAAGGCGCACTTACAGTATGTAACATAACAAATACCAGAATTGACGCGCAATACAAGGGATATCCAAAAGTGCGCAGGTCATGCTAGCACTCAGACGATGTACTGAACGCGCGTAAAGAAAAAGCCGGGTTCAAGTCAAAGCCGGGTGAATGACAGTCTTGCAGGTAGCCAAAGATCGAAGAAAAATTGCAACTACGCAGAGCATTTACAGGAACAACTGCCGGGATATAGAATGGACCCAAGATGAAACGCGCGTGCAGAGGGTTCTGTAATGAGCAAGAAGATGGTGATAGGCTCACGGCTCGCGAAGCTGCAAGAAGAGCAAAAATACTGACTTGGCTGAGACACAGGCTGCAATGCAGTAGACAATAGCAACTGTGAAGATGGAACAAATTCGCTATACACCAAGGATGGAATACTTAGCGAAAAAGGCAAAATATACTGCCCTAGCCGACGCTCTAAGGCCAAGGAAGACGAGATTTGCGCGAAATGAACAGTTGGGTCACGCGTTCACCAAAATTACAAAAACACAAAAGGAGCTATGGTTGCTTATTGCGTGCACAACAACAAACAAAACATAGGAGATAAGGGAACAAGCGCGAAAAATCTGATGGTCAATCAATATGCACAAAAAGGTGGGATACACGCCGCCTAAAGTGCGCGCTCACAAACAGTCAGTTCAGAACCCAACTGGAGAGAAAGTAGGAAAATACAGGATAAAAATTGCAGAAAAAGGAGGCATTCCGCCGCAAAAACACAACATCTGGCCTGTAAAAACAGAGCGTAAAGCTCGACAACGGCCTGGTATCAGACAAATCAGAACAAAAAGGAAGGAAACAGAGGCTCGCTACCTGGATGGAAAACGGTAAGAAATTCTGCCTGCTTCCAATGGCCCTCTCTGCCGTACTATCCGTCGTGTAACCAACGACATCAAAGATGGACTATGCCTGAACGAAGCGCGGCGCGCTAGGGGGCAACACTCACTCTCATCGGTAGCCTGAAAAAAATACGTACAACTATAAACAGCAAAACACAAAACACACTCCCTACTACCCATGTCGACGAACCACCCTACTAAACCCTCTCAACTTGTTTAACCTAATCCACCACAAAGAAGAACAAAAAGAGCGTAGTACGTGACCGCGGGGTAACCAAAGGACGTAAGGCAAACAGAGGATGGATAACGACAGACTGTCACTGAAGAGCCAGCACGTTCCCGCGAATAAAGGTAGCGTGCGCATGGCAAGGTACAGCTTGAACATGCCGGAGGCCGGTCCGAAACTACCCAAGGCTCCTTATCGGCGAATCGGAGCGATGGTACACGGGCACCTGAATCACTCCCAAAACGAGCCGTTCGTACCAACGGGCTGTTCCTTCCTCCATCTTCCGGATATTACGTTCCTCCGCTGTCCACAACAGTCCGCCTCCTTCCACGGCCGCTAACCAACAGTGCCTGGGGGTAAGAAAAACTACTAAAGGGCACAGGTTCGATGGCCAGGTGCCGAGCCCCCGGCCACCGAAAGCTTTCCCCCGAAGGGGTGCCCATGCAGCACTACGATACGCACGTAGAGGCGACTAACTACCCGTAACAATGAGATCACTGAACCTAAATATATCACAGAACTAAATAAGTATCACAGGAGTAAAAAATCACACGAGTAAACGACTAGCGAAGTTAACACGGTAAATAGATTAAAACTGTACAAGACAGTTGCTACAAACTCGAAACTACCAGGCCGACTACAACTGGAAGGATAGCGAAGAAATAGAAGAAAATGTAAAAGGAAATATCTAGGGTTTGGGGCCAGGACCCCCTAGCACTCCCGTCCTCCGAAGATGCCTCCATGCAACTCCGCCGTCCCCTGAAGATGCCTCCATGCATCTCCGGAAGTGATCCAGGCTCCTAAAAGGACGATGTTTCTTAGTACGGTAAAGGTTCGGCTTTCCTTGAATCTTGGCATTGTTATAGTCACTTTGCGGTGGGATTGCTGAGCTTAACCAAGATTGGTATAATAACTTTTATTGGCTGACGTCGACGTTTCGGCGATCTACGCCTTCTTCGGAGCCTGGAAAGGCGAAGTCATAAGCATCTATTCACTCAGACGTCAAGGGCCAAGAACAAAACAAACCGAGGAGATTAGCTAAAGACATTACCAGAGCCACAAGAACTTATACTCACCTTAGACGCAGCACAATCGGTAGCTGGAGAACAGACCACCTAATGCAAAACTGTGCCTCCAACCTCTATTTATACGCCTGAGTGACCTGACCTCAGTCAAACCCACAGAGGGCCTGATAAGGCGCGAGTTCGGTGGTGATTGCAAGGCACTCGTCTTTCCTATTCATTTTTGGATTTTTCGCGGCAATCCAAAATGCTTCTAACGTTTTGCGTGCCAGGAGTTCGGGCTCAAATGATAAGATCTTTACTGCAATCTGGACTTCAGCACCTTCGTGACGGCTTATTCGATGTTGCCCCAGTGGTGTGGAGGGCCTTGATTTATTTAGCCCATCTAGATGTTCCTTGATGCGAACACAAAGAGGGCGCCCGGTCTCTCCGATGTAGGTGTCTCCACATGATAAACATGTGATCCGGTAAATCACTCCTGACACCATACAATCACCCTCTCTGCTATATGGGCATATTACACAACCTGGAGTCAAACACATACGGTCATAGATACGGTTGCGAACCAGTCGGCGCTTCAAATCTGGGGGTGGTATATCGACCACTCTAACGGCCTCTTGCAAACCCGCGCGTTGTACGCAGCGCCGCACTGCCCTGCTAAGTTCATCCGAAACAAACGGCAAGCAAAAGGGGATCTTATCCGCTATGGAAGCTGGATTGATCCTACTGCTCAAAGAGCCGCGTTGTCGGACAGAGCAGCCACTGGAGTAGCCATTTGATTTGGCGATCTGGGAAGCCATGTTCAAAGATACGGCACGCTCCTGGCTCCCAGATGAGACTCGAGCTGCTGTTTTGAACATATTTGTAATGATAGAATTTTTGGTTTTGCGAAGGTGTGCAGACAAATAATGCACCAATATATTTCCCACCGCAAAGTGACTATAACAATGCCAAGATTCAAGGAAAGCCGAACCTTTACCGTACTAAGAGATGTACCAGCAAGCTGTGTTCGGCTAGTCAAGGAGATTCTTTCTTTGAGACAAAAGATCGTCTCAGAAAGACAGACCATTCTCTTCCTCTGCCGCTGCCACCAACATCAAGTCATCCCGAACTTCATTTCGAAGAAACGACTACACGAAGTGTGCGGCCTTCCCGAAGGATCTAGTCAAGTCCATCGCATCGAGCAACATCTCCTGTACACTGCTCTCCGAACGAAGAAGAACCATATGTTCTCGCTGCTATTGAAGTGTAATTATAAAGAACAGTGCTGTAAACGTCTCTTGCCCGATCACCTTTGGAGGAGGATAGAGGGTGAGTCGAAGTTCATTTGTGATCTAATTCGCTCTGATGCCAAGGCTAGGTTACGAGATAAATTCGACAGGCTGGTTGGTTATGGGCAAGATCAGAGTCCACAAGTAACTAGTATAAGCTTTAGAATCGAAAACCAAAACTGTTCTGAGGATAACCGTAATGTCTCGCCGAGTGGGTCTCGTGTATCTATTATTGGTGACGCAATCGTCTCGAATGACGCACTCTCAGTCTTGGATCTCGGTCCAAGTTTCTCACCTGTTCAATCGATTGGGGCTAGGGTCTCTCGAAAGATCGTAGGTAGTCTGCAATCTCTTCACGAAGCACTACGGCGCAGAGCGAACCAGGAACAGCGCGAAAACGGCGCGTACAATGCAATAACATCATCTTTTCCTGCCATGCCTTTTCCACGACTCCTGTTCAAACCACAAGAGCCTAATAGCATGGTAGACACACAGTTTCGTGTGTTTGCAACCTCTGTGTTCTCTATCATCAGCAAATGCCGCAGAAACCGCGCAAATCATAATTTAACACTTTCACAGCGCCGCGGCCTGCGGGAGATCCGTGATCTCTGCAACGCAGGCGAGATCAAAATTTCTGTGAGCGATAAAGGAGGGGAGTTCGTGGTCGTTTCACGTGAATTGGACATGGCAATGACACGAAATCATCTGGCGGATCGCAGCGTTTACCAACCTTCCTCTGCCGATGAATTTAAGAAGCAATAGCGCCGTCTCAATAGGGTTTGGTCAGAAACAGCTCACTCTGCAGGCTTACCTAAAAGTATAATAGCGCGTTTAAAATGCGAACTGCCTGTCTGTCCAGTCTTATACAAGCTTATCAAAACGCACAAACCTCCCGCCGCAGGTCTTACGTCCAACAATGCATGCGAATTCAAAGTAAGGCCAATAATCAGCAATGTAGGAGGCCCGACAGATAGGATTGCGTGGTTTATCAATCTAATCTTGACGCAGCTATTACAGTATATTCCTGCACACCTCTCTAACACTGGTATGCTACTAGACCGCCTCCGCAATACGCAGTTTAGCTCTAACTCCGTTATAGAGTCGTTTGACGTTACATCGCTCTATACCAATGTGTCAAACGATGACGCAATGCAAGCCATCTGCGAGCTTCTATCTCAGCATCAGTCCTCTCTGCGCTTATATGGATTTACCATAAACACCTTGATGACCCTTCTAAGCGAGTGCTTGAGTTGTAACGTTTTTAGATGGTCGGGCCATTACTATAAGCAGGTAAGGGGACTAGCAATGGGACAACGTTTAGCACCAACACTTGCCATTGCTTTCATGTCTAAGGTAGAGGCGCCAGTGCTAGAGCGCAAGCCGCTGCTATACTGCCGTTATATAGATGATTGCTGCATAGCTTGTCCTTCTCAGACTGAGATGGACATATGTTTCCGCACGCTTAACGAGCAGTTTTCCAGCATTAAGTTCACCAGGGAAAAGCCCCACGAAAACTGGCTTGCGTTTCTCAATGTCCAAATTCATCTGGCTGGTGGGGAGTACAAAACTAGGTGGTACCGCAAACCCAGCTGCAGAAATATATTGGTGCATTATTTGTCTGCACACCCTCGCAAAACCAAAAATTCTATCATTACAAATATGTTCAAAACAGCAGCTCGAGTCTCATCTGGGAGCCAGGAGCGTGCCGTATCTTTGAACATGGCTTCCCAGATCGCCAAATCAAATGGCTACTCCAGTGGCTGCTCTGTCCGACAACGCGGCTCTTTGAGCAGTAGGATCAATCCAGCTTCCATAGCGGATAAGATCCCCTTTTGCTTGCCGTTTGTTTCGGATGAACTTAGCAGGGCAGTGCGGCGCTGCGTACAACGCGCGGGTTTGCAAGAGGCCGTTAGAGTGGTCGATATACCACCCCCAGATTTGAAGCGCCACTGGTTCGCAACCGTATCTATGACCGTATGTGTTTGACTCCAGGTTGTGTAATATGCCCATATAGCAGAGAGGGTGATTGTATGGTGTCAGGAGTGATTTACCGGATCACATGTTTATCATGTGAGACACCTACATCGGAGAGACCGGGCGCCCTCTTTGTGTTCGCATCAAGGAACATCTAGATGGGCTAAATAAATCAAGGCCCTCCACACCACTGGGGCAACATCGAATAAGCCGTCACGAAGGTGCTGAAGTCCAGATTGCAGTAAAGATCTTATCATTTGAGCCCGAACTCCTGGCACGCAAAACGTTAGAAGCATTTTGGATTGCCGCGAAAAATCCAAAAATGAATAGGAAAGACGAGTGCCTTGCAATCACCACCGAACTCGCGCCTTATCAGGCCCTCTGTGGGTTTGACTGAGGTCAGGTCACTCAGGCGTATAAATAGAGGTTGGAGGCACAGTTTTGCATTAGGTGGTCTGTTCTCCAGCTACCGATTGTGCTGCGTCTAAGGTGAGTATAAGTTCTTGTGGCTCTGGTAATGTCTTTAGCTAATCTCCTCGGTTTGTTTTGTTCTTGGCCCTTGACGTCTGAGTGAATAGATGCTTATGACTTCGCCTTTCCAGGCTCCGAAGAAGGCGTAGATCGCCGAAACGTCGACGTCAGCCAATAAAAGTTATTATACCAATCTTGGTTAAGCTCAGCAATCCCACCGCAAAGGGACGATGTTTCCTTACCACCTGCGCTTATCGTCGCGTCCACCGATACAACTCCAAATTCGCGCGTCCAACGATACCGTTCCAACGCAGATACAATCCTCCTTCAAACCCTCTTTCGTCTGTCCCCTCTCAACGTGTACGACGATACAGTACAAGTCGCGTTCGACGATAAAACTCCGAAATACGCGCACGACGATACAATACAATGACCACGTTCTCTTTCGTCTATCGAGCCACCCTATAAACCCTCCTGCGACAATCCCCTCAGCGCGTACAACGGTACAACACACGACGCGTTCGACGATACAATACTAAAATACACGTTACAACGATACACTGAAATCGCGCTCCCTGTCTATCGGTCTGTCAGTCCTTGTCCAATCCGCCCTGTAGACCCTCTCTCTGGCACGTCACCGATACAGCTCATCGCGCCCTCCGATACGGCTCCAACACGCGCGTACAACGATACACTCCATCGTGCCTCTCAAACGCCCTCCTTCTGCGCGTCGTTCTCGACGATACAGCTCTGAAATGCACGTACAACGATACAACTCTTACGCGCTCCCGTCCAGGTCTCCATCCATCGATCCTCCTTCGATCCGACCGTCGTCCTTCCATCCGCTCGATCCCTTCCACCAGCAACTCCACCAAGACGTCTATGACTCGACATTTGCGGCCGCTGGCACTATACCCTAAGTGCCCCTGTCGTCGAGCCCGCCGAAGACATTAACACCTGCCCTTACTTGGGAGCCCTTTCCTAGCGCGGCATGCATACCAGCATCGCATGGCGTAGGTGCTCGGTACCGATAGGGGTACGGTTGGCAAGTTGCCACAGTCTCACCGACTTTTCCCCCGCACTCTGACGCCATACTTCGCAACCTGGCTATCCCCGCTGTAGTCTTGCCAGGCTACGTAGGTATTCAGCTCTGCCTCTCTGTTTGCCAGGACTTCCTACTGGGGCGCTGAGCGTGGTAGCTTCGGGCTCGTTACGCACGCATGATGGATGGGATAGCGCGTTCCTCGTTCCTCGCAACGCAACCTACCGATGACACACAATCCCACTCCGACCTGCGCGACTAACCCATCCGCGGGCGGCGATGCCATCCACCATGCGCTCGGCGTCGATGCACCATGTTGCGGCTCGGTGGGCTCTGCGCCCCCTCACCTAGTGCTCGACTGCCATACGCCTCAGCTCCTGTCCCCGAAGGACTCCCGCCGCTGCGGGTGCGCGCTAACACGCAGTGGCGCGTCACGCCTACACTAGACACGAAACGAGAAAAATATAGAAATTTACTAAACAAATATACATGAAAATACACAACACGAATAAAAGTAAACATACTCACCACGGGGAGAGTTAAGCTCTACCCCGGGCTACCGATGAGGACTCTTGCTTACTCACACTCGCACGCTAGCACACTCACACACTCTCCCAGAATCCAAGGGAGCTACCCACAGGCCGGCCGCGCGCCGCCAAGGCAGCAGCTACGGCACGGCGACACCGACCCCATGATGTAAACCAACAGCATCAAACAAAGCTCCCAACAAATCCTGCGCGACCGAAGCGCTTTGAGATGTTCGTCATCCTGAAATTCCATCCTCGCGCGTACATCCAAACAATACATCAACAATCCATCCTATCGCACGAGGCACAGGGATGTAGACACGACGGCGATATCGTAGAGACCCAACCAATCAATAGTAAAGGCGGCACGACGGTAATAGTAAGATGACAAGACGAGAGAAGAGCCGCACTGGCGCGCGTACGCGCTGTTTATAGCGGTGGCTGGGGGCGTGCCTACATGGTGTGGTCTCGGAGCGAACAAGGTAGCCGCCGTAAAGCGCGGCGACCGTGCTCACGACCGAGACGCGCGGCAACACGGTGTTCCCGGCCACATGCTGTGAGGAGCGGTCGATCTTGAGCCGCGACACTGACTTTTCGCACTCCGCTCGCAGATTTTTGGAAAATGATCAGCGAGGTTTTTAAAGACCGCCTGTTGATTTTTTTACCCTCCGATTTCTCGCGAATATATCTCTTTGATTTTTGGACGAAGCAAGAAATAAACAAGCAGCTGAAAAAAATCGTGACCACTTTTCTAAAAAAATCAGCGAGTAGAGTGCGAGAAATCATCTAATATAATTTCCGATGCCCGCCTACCCCCGGCGATTGTATGAGTTGTTGAACAGCGACCGTGCCCTTCTTTCAGTCTTATTTGAATAATCGTTTTTTTGACTGCTACAAATAAAGTTTTAAGGTTTGTGTAGCTAAGGATGCTCATTCTTACAAAACAGAAGCTAAAAAACAATGGATGTCTTTTTCATATCGTGCGTGAACACCTCAAACGGGATGTAATAACTTCACTACTTTTTGTTGTCTCGACAGCGATCTGCTTCGGTCATTAGGTCCCATTTTGTCATCTCTCTTCACATTGAATATTCGTGTTTATTTGATCTGACCTAAACGAGGTCAACCTGAAACTTATAGGATAAAGAATATTACGTCAATGAACGATATGGCCAGACCATTTGTACTGGAAAATCTGCATTCATTATACACGATCAACTTTGAATATTGAAGGTTAAAAAATCCTAATTCAAAAAAGCACAGTACAAAGGAACAATTATTGAATCGCAGCATTCGCGAATGGCTTAAAACATCAGCTTTGCATTTTGACAATGAAAAGATTTCTAAAAATGTGTTTTCAACGAGAGTGTTAATTCTGAAGAAATGACTTTATTCAAATTGAAATCCCTCATCAATGCGTGATGCGCCAAAAAATGTTTCGTTGTTATTCCTAAAATCTGCACTTGTACAGTGGCGCACAACAGCAGCAAACAACCAGACATACAAAGTAAAGATTATTGAACGTTTGCTTGCAAAGCAGAAAACTCCCACATGTTTTGATTACAATCAATGTTCACTATTACCGCTAGTCCGTACGTACTCTGTCACGCTTTCAGTGTTTTGATTCCTTTACCAAAGAAATCCTCAAGAAAGAAACTTTCAAATTACTCGCAGATGAAATAGAATAATATGACAAGAGTTACCTGCCTCTCTACTCCGACCCAATAAATTTCAAAAGTCACGAACGAAAGATGTTTCTTTTCGACTTGCTACAAATTCTGATGGCAGAGGAAAATTTTCACTTCTGTCTACTATCTCAGAGCGTAAAAAATCTCAAACAAAACTAATGAATTTAGTCAATAATCAACCTGTACATACTTTACAACTGAAGAGCATTGCCAATACTATGTCACCAATCAGACCCTTGTCTCATTAAAGGCAGTGGATCGGCAAAACTTAATAACGCATGATTTTAGCGCAGTAAGTTCCTTTTCACCCATGTATGAAAACAATGCAATCCCGTTGCACAGCAAGCCTTCCCTGCGAAAAAACTGCTTTCAAACTTACACGCGCAAGCCAAACTTACACGCGCCCGGACGTTTTGGCAATTTCCTTTTCACCATTGGACTCAGACATTTGCAGTTAAGTCCCGCCGGAGATCCGCCCACAAAATGAGAATTCGCGAGAAAACCGGGAGTCTTGCGCGACTCCCGGTTTTGTCCCGACTTTCGGGACAATCCCGACAGTTAAAAAGTGGCGGGAGATTACCGGGAGTCGCGATCATCGATTTTGACGCTATTGCGCGTCAGTATCGATTCATTCCTATTTCCACACAGGCTGTTTGTTACTCCACCATTAGGTTTTAATGTTAGCTTTTCTCGATCTAGTATATGTATCTCTCTCCCTCAGTGTAGACTGCAAATGCCCTTTGGTCATACATTACAATTTTCATGCAAGTTTTTCACCTCGTACATCGTACTGCTAGTCATACACACCGTCACAAAACCATACTTCTATATACAAACTTTGTCTTTGTCATTCGTACCATTCGCAGTTTACACTGGATTCCCATTTTCTGATCACTTCCTGCTCTGTTCGGATATCAGAAAACAAAATAAAGTTCTCAATACATAGGCCAGTGGGGTACGTAAAACTCATTGTTCAGTGCAATTGCACATGCATACACACGCAATCTTACGCCAAAGAAAAGTAGGTTATTTGTTATCATCCTAACTTTGACTTGCATCCTTTTATCTTCACTTCATATTCTGTGCTATTACCTTTTGACCCTACGTTATCTCACGCCAAAATAATGGTTGGTTATCACTCATCTACCTGACTGTTACTTGCATCCTTGTCTCTCTACTTTATAGTCTATACTATCGCTGTCAACCTTAGTACCAGCGAATCGTATTCATACCTATCGCGGCTTAAATTATTCCTTATTGAACTTTCAATGCTGTGTTTTGGTTGGAACATCGAAAAGATGGTTTTCAATGCATAGGTCGTAGGGTTGCGCAATCTTCATATTGTGCAACTGCGTATGCATACACACGGGACCTTACGCCATATGGGATGGTTGGCTATTACTCATCCACCTACAGTTTCTTTCATCCCATTCTCTCCACTTAGTCTATGCTATCGCTGTCTGCCTTAGTACCTCTAGATCTAATCATATCAATTGCGGCTATACTAATTCCTTTTTAATCATTCAACGTTCTGTTTCGGGTTAATCATAGAAATAGTTAGTTCGCAGTACATAGACCTTGGATCAATTTTTTTGTGCAATCACATATGTATATACATGCAACCTTACGTCAAAAAAGAACGGTTGGCTATATTACTTTTCCTTACTGTTACTTGCATCCTTTTCTCTCTATACTTTAGACTTGTGCTATCGCTGTCTACCTTGCATACATTCACGAGAACTCAAGTGCTTATTTCATTAAATATACCTTTGGAGTTTAAATAAGGGTGCAGGCTTAATTTCAAAACAGAAGTGTTTAGCGCGCTATATTTCGCAAGTACCTTAGCTGGAATCATAAAAGAGCAAAGCAATATCATAGCTGGACTAAGGGCCGCATGCACTAACCTCCTCGCTGGGGAGGGGATCGCAGTTTAAAAGAAAGCTTTATATTTCAAAACTCCAGATGCCTGGATTTCACGTTGTGTACCTATCCGTAAGTATTCCTACTACCCTTCACTATGAACATGTTGAAGAGGAGCGAGAAGCTGTACGAACCATTTTTCAGCTTTATATGATCCCTGGTGATCCCCGGCGCTTTTCTTTAAGGTCATTTTCTTTCTCCGAAGTTAACGAAAACTTTCCAAAGCTGTACTGAACATGTAACACAACAGTGCTAAGCATACTGCTGTTGAGAACAAATGATTTTTTGAAAAGTCGAATTTTTCGGTTAACCTCAAATTTCGACCTGTGGATCATCGAAAATTTCATGACTTCGAAACATCATTTATTCTTATCACGAACATGCTTAGCACTGTCGGGTTGGATAATCTGCACAACTTTGAAAATTTTTCGTTAACTTCGAAGGAAGAAAAATGACCTTAAAGAAAAGCGCCGGGGATCATCAGGGATCATACAAAAGCTGGAAAATGCGGTTCGTACAGCTTCTCGCTCCTCTTCAACATGTTCATAGTGAAGGGTAGTAGGAATACTTACGGATAGGTACACAACGTGAAATCCAGGTATCTGGAGTTTCGAAATATGAAGCTTTATTTTAAGCTGCGATCCCCTCCCCGCGGGGATGTTAGTGCATGCGGCCCTAAGTCTGACTGTAAGTAAGGTAGATCCAGAACGGAGGGTG